ATTTAAAAATTAAACTACCGAATGGATTTGGCAAAAAAGTCTATGTGATCGATCTATAAGTCAGTTTCAAAATTAATTTACAAAAATTCTTAATTGAGAGGCAAAAGTTAGACATTCCAGCAAGTTACCTCTATGTTCCATTTGTCTGCTAGATAAACTGTCATATCTGTCTGTTTACTGTACGGATAATCTGGTACTATTGTTTTATTGTTACCCTATTCCCTTTGGCCGCAACAGAATATCAGTGCTTCGCTCTTTTGAGGGCGAAGCAATAAACTGAGTTGTGGCCATTTTGTATTGCCATGGCACACTCACAAACGAAAATTGTATTTAGCTTTATGTATTTTTTTATCATTTATGTTATCTCGCTTTTTTTTGTATATGTATGTTATAGTTTGTATGCTGTAAGTAAGTAATGCAAATTATTTATCTATCTATCTATCTATCTATCTATAAATATATACTTTCAGATAAAAAAAAAAAAAGAATTTTGCAAATCGGTTTACAACTAACGGAGCTATGAGGTAACAAATATAAAAACAGTAACAGAATTGAGTATTTCTTCTATTAAAGTCGATTAAAAAATTGTTAACAAGTATTAATAAGACCTGTATAAAAAAACTTAATATTGTATTTCCAATGGATGATAATAAAATGGTAACTCCATTCAAGAAGTATATAATAGTTGGATCGCACAGGGTTTCGTCAGTAAACAGCAGATCTTGGGTTTAATTAAGTCGGCCACCCCAATATAAACTGTAATGGGTATATTTATATATACAATCGGTTTTTACATAACGTATTTTTAAATTTTCAACCGAATTGAAAAAAAGAAGGAAACTCTCAACTCAGTTGTATATTTTTTTATGTATGTTACCTCTTAACTTCGTCAGTTGGGAACGGATTTGCAAAATTCTTTTTTTTATCCGAAAGGATATACTTACCTTGTTTTTGGGTTCCATAGAAATTTTATTAGAATCGGTTCAATGGTTTAATTTTGAAATAAAACTGACATTATAATTTTTTTTATACAACTTATAATGGCAAACAAGCTGACGTCCCACCTGATGGAAAGTGTTAACCATCGCCTATAGACATATGCAGTACCATGGACATAACAGAGTATACTATTTTGGCCATGATACTCGTACCTCCATGTGTTGCCATTCCTGAGGACTCAGGTGTTATTCCTCTGTACCCAATAAATTCACGCCATATCCCACCCTTCAAACTGAAACATAGCCATGCAAACACAACTGCTTCACAGTTGAAACACGAATGGGACAGCCAGACCCAAGCGAATTACTTTTGTACAAAGTCTCCCTCTGATAAAATAAATGAAGTCGACTTTTTTGTTTTTGTGAAACACAATTTAATTGTAACGCAACTACAAATGTTCGGTGTATAATACAGTCGATGTTCCTGAATGCCCTCGATCGCGAACACTCGCTTACAAATGTACGTACATCGATTCACCAAATTGTACCCTTTAAAATTGTTATAACAAAGACTTGAACGGTTCGGTTATGTAGTATTTGATACGTGCTAGATTGTAGAATTTAAATATAGAATTACACGCTAAAGTACGACAACATAGTCTAAAGACTTGAGCAGTTGGTTACACTGCATTAAATTTATCTTTAACCCTTTTTCCATCCTTTTTCTGTTACGCCTTGACAAGACACAATTTGATGGGGGTATTTTTAATGGATGATGATGGAATGGTAACCCCACCCGCGCTATCGGTATACACCGGCGGGCACCAGTGAAGGATGATAGGTGAGGATGAAGTAGGTCAGTTAGCCCATCGTGACAAATTCATTAAGAATTGTTCACGATGGTTTCCAGGGGGAACTACGTGGAGGTCGACCTAATAAGGCATATTGCTAGCAATGGGGCTGTCAAACTCCATTATTAACAATCCCTTTCCCCCCTGATGGGGATATTAGACCTCAGTACTAACAAACCCTTTTCTCCCTATACTAAAACTATATTATATTACTAATATATTACTAATAGGGGAAAGGGATTGTTAGTAATGGAGACTAAAAATCCCATTGCTAGCAATATACCCAACCAGGTCGACCTCCTCGTAGTTCCCCCTGGAAACTATCATGGTTAATTCCTGATGAATTCATCATGATGGGCTAACTGGCCTGTTTTCATTCTCATCTATCACCCTTCACTGGTGCTCCGCCAGTGTATCCCGTTAGCGCAGGCGGGGTTACCATAACATTTTCACCCATCAAAAAAATATATATATTACTAATACTATACTATTAGATATACAAAATCAATTGTTACATCACAGCCAAGTAAAGCAGGAACACGTGCGCCCACCCTGTCCGCGACACTCGGCACGTACTCGCACGCTGATTCTATACCGTGAGGAGGGTTCACTTTATCCCACGCGGATACGGACAGGTGCTCTAACTGAATAATATGTTAATCTTACAAACATTTTTATATTAGATTGTGATCCGACTCGAATACATAATGTTTGCGTCGAAATTTCGTTTGTTTCAACGATTTATTGTATGTTTTTATTGAAACTTTATCTTTTAACAAATCACACATGACTTGCAACTAATTAATCAGATTGCCAGACATATTATATATCTAAATAACTAGAATGACATAATTTTTTTCAGTTTTTATATGTTTTATATGTTATTTTAAATTGTTATTCATTTATTTAATATAAATCGAAATTATTAAAAAAACAATACAAAAAAAAAACTATTTAGAAACAAACAATTATATATAAAATAATTAAATATAATCTAACATCTAAATTGACATTAATCCATATATATTAGCTACCAATTCATATAATTTTGCTACACCAAAATAGGGTTCATGTACTTACGGTATTTGCGGAAAGTGGTAATCGTCGTATATAGACTTGAGCAATAACATGGGCATAACAGTGTATACTGTTTCGCCCATGATACCCCCCCATGCGTTGCCATTCCTAAGAACTCAGGTGTTATTCCTCTGTACCTTGTAAATTCACTGCCATATCCCACCCTACAAACCGAAACACAGCCATGTAAACACAACTGCTTCACGGTAGAAACACGAATAGACAGAGGTACCCAAAGAAACGACTTTTGTACAAAGTCTCGTTCTGGTAATCTCTATATTTTTCAAGAGAACTTGTGTTGAATTTAACCTTACAGGATACTAACAATTGACCCTAATTCCCCATAACTGACCAATCCCATTCCCTACTAATATAACTGTCTAAAACATAATTTCTATTCACAACGTATTCTTTTATCCCACGCCATGCTAACACAAGACTATGTTTTAGCAATGGGACAGTAATATAACGGTGCTACCGAATATCTCCCATAGGATCGTGTTAGGGAAAATAAACAGGGCCCGTCCCGTCCTTTGATTATTGAATCTTATGTCGTTTCATTCCCTTTTTTTACAACTTGATTCTTTTACGGCATTGCTTTGTAGTAATACCAATTTTCGACACTATTTCACTGATAAAATTCTCCGCAGTACAGTATAGTGTACGTATACAAGATGTCTTACTTTGCACGATTATTTTTCTGTGAATTCGAAATCGTATAGTAATAGAGAAAGCAATAAAAGATATATTTTTTTTTATACAACTCAGAATGGCAAACAAGCTGACGGCCCACCTGATGGGAAGTGGTAACCGTTGCCTATAGACATGAGCAGTACCATGGATATAACAGAGTATACTGTTTCGCCCATGATACACCCCATGCATTGCCATTCCTGAGGACTCAGGTGTTATTCCTCTGTATCCAGTAAATTTTTGCCATATCCCACCCTTCAAACCGAAACACAGCCATGAAAACACAACTGCTTTTTAGTTGAAACACGAATGGGACAGAGGTACCCAAGCAATCGACTTTTGTACAAAGTCTCCCTCTGGTAAAATCACTTCTACTCGTAGTTAGTGTATTGAGATAAAACATATACCTGATTTTAAATTACTCCTTCAGGAACGTGACTGTGAAAATCAGATAGTAGCTGCAATAGTTTTCACGTGATGCCGGAACAAATATACAGACAGACAATTTTCCTAAAAAATTTAATTTAAACTTCTGTTATAGATAGATAGATACATTTATTAGCCTACAACTTTGTTATTAGAAATCTTGATTTTTATTGTAAAGTACAAATGTTCGCCTTATAGTCTAAAGCATGCAAATTCATTGATGGGTAGGCAAAGTTATTAAATTTTAAAATTACATCAATTATTTATTAGATTCTATATCATCATCATCATCATATCGGCCTTTAACTGATCACTGTACATAAACCTCCCCCTTGGGAAGTTTTGCCAACAGTTGCTACGCTTGGCAGACAGAATGGTAACCGCAGTTAGGCTTTGGAAATGTTTTAAGAGGGACGCTGCTGCCCATCCCTCGATCACTCTTAGTCGCCTCTTACGACATCCACGGAAAAGAAAGGGATAACTTATTCTATTCCGGGACCATACGGCATATTCATTCACACCTGTCATCCCTCACCGGTGCCCAGCGTAAGCAGAATGTCCATTGCATTAAAAAACTTATTAAATGCAGAAAATTGGCAAAGATATACGAAAGAACGCAACTAATACGAAAACAAATTTTCTCTTTCACTTAAAAATTTCTCACTTTTAACCTTTTCAAAATCTCTTAAAAATAATAAATTGTTAGAAAGAAACATAACATAATCAACGTTTAAAGATCACGACCGAAAATATTTACTTTCGAAATCCATACATTGACAATACTTGTTGACAGATTCTTGAGATGTTTATTTGTTTCTTATAAATAAATTGTCGTATACACCAACCTTTGTAAACACATATTGTGATCATACTGAGTTTAACTCACGATCGAAGTGGGTGCATAAGACGTGTTACTAAATTTAAATTCAAAAATCACTTAACAAGTCCTAATTTGTTCCAAAGATAAAAAGATCATTACTCTAGAACCCAATTTATTTAGTCCTGATATTGCGAGATGCGGTATATCAACTACTATTTCGTTTACTACTTCGTAACAGTTCATTCGACAGGACTATCAACAAAATACTGCGACCTTCAATCCAATGATATAACAAAGCAGTGTTTCGTGAAAGAGACTTTGGCATCACTACCACACAGTCCAAATCAGCTTGCAGTTGACAGATCCTCCAATATTCTATACTTCAGCTTCGACATCGGCCAGGGAGAATACATACCAGCAACTTTAAGGATTGACACGAAAAAAGTGACTGTATTAAAAGGAGTCAAAGACGCGTTTGCTGTGGCTGCGAATACTGCAACTGGAGATATCTACTTCGGTGGAAGTCATGGTATATATAAATACAATCGTCTCATTAAAGTCTTAAAGAGACTTTCTGTTAGCAATTTAGACATATGGTGGTTGTTCATCAAGAATTATGTATATTTCATTAAATTTCCGAGTCTCAGCGCTTTCTACTATCAAAACAAGGCTTTGAAACCTGTACCCCAACTGAAGAGTACTACCGTTCATCAATTCGTAATTGATAAAGATGATAACACAATTTTTATTAATGGCACCGGATTATTTAGTATCAAGAATGATAGTAACATCGCTACATTACTAAAAAATAGTCCCAAATTTTTTGGAATGAGCATAAACAGTGAAGGCCACGTATATGTTTGTAGTGAAGATGGAATCTTCGTCATAAGTGAAATGTTTCAGAAAGTAAAGAGAATTATAAATATACAAGGAGTGTTAGGGTTTACCTTCGATAAACATAATAACATAATATATACAGATTCGCACGAACTAATAAGACTATTACCTGTTAATAATAACAGTGCTATTAGAAATTTATTATAAATTATCTAGCAAATACTTCTATTAGATTTGTTTAGATTAATAACGTAAGTCACTAAGTTCACCTTCAAAAAAAAGAAATGCAAAAATTAGATATTCCATCAAGTTACCGTTCTATTCCATTTACCTGCTAGATGAACAATATATATATATATATATATATATATATATATATATATATATATATATATATATATATATATATATATATATATATATATATATATATATATATATATATATATATATATATATTATTGCACTTGTAAATTACATTGCATTTATAAATATTGTGAGCAAGGATGGACTTATCTCTGACAGAGATCTCTTCCGGAGATCCTTCTCAGAGATTTTACAAAGCGAACAGCTAACATGCTTTCTAACTGTATTGGGTTGACTAAGTACTACAACTATTAATATTTAGAATATATAAACAAATATACAATTAAATAAAATATTAAAATATATAATAAAATATTACATAAATACATATACTTACCAGAGGGAGACTTTGTACAAAAGTCGATTGCTTGGGTACCTCTGTCCCATTTGTGTTTCAACCGTAAAGCAGTTGTTTGCATGGCTGTGTTTCGGTTTGAAGGGTGGGATATGAATTTACAGGGTACAGAGGAATAACAACGGAGTCCTCAGGAACGGCAACGCATGGAAAGTATCATAGGCGAAACAGTATACTTTGTTGTGTTCATAGTACTGCTCATGTCTGTAGGCGACGGTTACCACTTTCCATCAGGTAGGTCATCAGCTTATTTGCCATTCTAAGTTGCATCAAAAATAACGCCAGATAAGAATCTACCGAAAAGATCTTATTAAAGGTTAAGTTAATTAAGGATATAAAAAAGTACGACGCAGCATCATAACAAAAAGTTGGGATGAATATGTTTTTCCCCTACCCCCAAAAGGAAAAACACATGAAAGGAAAACATATTTTATATAAAATACTTCCTGCTGACTCATTCCACTTCTCTTTCCAGCTTCATATCTACTATACCGCTGGTATTTCTTTTCAAAAAAGTATATCTTTTTAAAATAAATAAAGCAACTTTGTCAAACAGCTAAATTTGTAACGAAATATTTATTTATTTGATTTATGTATTTACACTTTATTGCACCATTTATAAAAAACAATAAATATACAAAATTTTAATGATAAGTGACACAAAAGGCGCCCTTATCGCTAAGCAATCTCTTCCAAACAACCTTTAGATAGAGGACACTGAGAAAAAAGAGAAAAGGTAGATGGCGCACTGTTATATAGATACTAATATATACAAACAGGGGGGGGGGGGTTGTTAATAATGCGCACTACCAGTCTCATTGTTAACAATATGCCCAAAAAGATCAACCTCCACGTGGTCCCCCCTGGAAACCATCGTGATGAATTCACTTGAAATTCTCTAATTGACCTGCTTTTTCATTCTCACCTATCATCTCTCACTGGTGCCCCGCCAGTGTATACCGATAGCGCAGGCAGAGTTTACTATTCCATTATCATTCTTAAAAAAAAATATATATACAAACATAAATATACAATATCTATTTTAGAATTGTAGATACATAAAGGAGAAAAGTATTCACGATTATTTACCAGTGGGAGACTTTGTACAAAAGTCGTTTGCTTGTGCACCTCAGTTCCATTCGTGTTTCAACCGTGAAGCAGCTGTATTTGCATGGCTGTGTTTCGGTTTGAAGGATGGGATATGGCGTAAATTTACTGGGTACAGAGGAATAACACCTGAGTCCTCAGGAATGGTAAATTTTGCCATTTGTTTGTTTTCCATTCTAAATTGCATATAAAAAAAACATACATTTCCGCATTCTAAACTCATTTTTTTTAATTTAATCTGTCTACAAATAACTTGACGTTTATCATTAATTGAAATCACTGATTTTCGTGAAGAAGTGTTAATGTTAGAGCAAAATGGAGCAACTGTGCTGAATGTAAAAACAATTGTTTTTTTAATATTGTACATACGTAATAACAACAAAAAAAAAAAACAATTTCTACAGTTTTACTACATTACGCATTATCCGCATTACATATTATCCGAATTTGACATTTCAAATAACCATTCAATCATTCATTCTTTCATTCATTCACCGACACGTTGTTACTGACGACGCCGCGGTATAAAGAAGCCATTTTTATGCGCCATTTTGTACAGTGACGTCAAATACACTCGATTAACTCAGACAGTCGTGTCGACTCGTGTGCCGTGGAACGGATTGATATTTCACTGTTTATATACTTATTTTATCTTCATCTATACGTCTTTATATCTATGTATAATCTTCACAGTATAAGTAAAAATGACGCAGCCACATTTTTTAATATAACCTCATTGCTAGCTACTGCTACCCCGTCAAGTCGACTTTCACGGGGTCCCTCCTGGAAGCCTTCTATTCCATATCTATATCATGACATAAAAATAGTTTTACCATAGTAATCGATTAGATATTTAGTCGAACTTTTTAATGACCATGTAATTTTAGACATAACACATTTTAATAAATACACATAATGTTAACAGAGATTTAAAAGAGTTACTGTTGAGTTTCTTACGGACTCTTCTTTTTTTTATACAACTTAGAATGGCAAACAAGCTGACGGCCACCCTGATGGAAAGTGGTAACCGTCGCCTATAGACATGAGCAGTACCATGGACATAACAGAGTATACTGTTTCGCCCATGATACCCCCCATGCGTTACCATTCCTGAGGACTCAGGTGTTATTCCTCTGTACCCAGTAAATTCACGCCACATCCCACCCTTCAAATCGAAACACAGCCATGCAAATACAACTGCTTCACGGTTGAAACACGAATGGGACAGAGGTACCCAAGCAATCGACTTTTGTACAAAGTCTCCCTCTGGTAAACTCTCCCTCTTCTCAACAGGTAACGACTTTCCGAACCTTGCATTCAAAAATAAACGACGATTTAAAAGCGCTTATAAACAAATCTATTTTGAAAAAAGATGATTTGCATTTGAATTACATTTTATGATTCAGAACATTATCAGATCCAATCGGCGCAATTCTCGATTAGTATGGGTTTGCCCCTTGGCTGTGATATCGCATTACGCCACTGTGCAGTCTATTTGCATTCAATTACTGGCTTGTGTACTGTAATACGAAATGTATTCCAATTACGTATTTGATGAATCGAAATTGGATCTTAGAGATGTGGTGTCTGAAATAATTATAGTTACCTGCATATACCATGTTTACTAGGATATATGGATTACCAATGCATAGCTACATATATGGTACATAACAGAATTATTTATTCATATTCATTTGTTTTTATTTATTTATTTATTCATTAGTACAAATATGTGTATATGGTGGACTTAATGCTAAAAGCATTCTCTCCCAGTCAACCATAGGGAAGTGTCTGAATACTCGAATGCGGTACTAGTAATTATTGATATACATACATTTATTGCTTGTTTTTAAAAATATTTGTTCTAATACTATATATATATATATATATATATATATATATATATATATATATATATATATATATATATATATATACTTGGAATTTATAATTAGTATGGCAAACAAGCTAACGGCCCACTTTATGGAAAGTGGCAATCGTCGCCTATAGACATGAGCAGTACAATGGACATAACAGAGTATACTGTTTCACCCATGATACCTTCCATGCGTTACCATTCCTGAGGACTCAGGTGGTCTTCCTCTGTACCATGTAAATTGTAAAAGTACTTTGTCTGCCTGACCAGGATAATTTCGCTGGTAACTTTTTTTACAGAACCCAGAACTCACTTTGGGAATCGCTGCCGTAGATTATCCCTTTCTACATTAAGATACACGGAATAATGCAATCTAGCATAAATAACATAAATCTCGCCCAAAAACCGCACCAAAACCGCATCCAGATATATATTTTACCGGCAAGCCGGCGAGCCGAAATTGGGTCGACAGGACAAAAGTTGTTAAGAGAGCCGTCGATTCCCATTCCGGCGGCTTAATAAATACAAACCAGCTAAAAGCCAGGAAATACCAATACGCATTGTATATGTAAACTCCGGTATAAATAGTATCTCTTTAAGGAGAGTCGAGACGAAAATGATATATTTTTTTATGCAACTTAAAATAGCAAACAAGCTGACGGCCCACCTGATGGAAAGTGGTAACCATCGCCTATAGACATGAGCAGTACCGTGGACGTAACAGAATATACTCTTTCGCCCATGATACCCCCCATGCGTTGCCGTTCCTGAAGACTCAGGTGTTATTCCTCTATACCCTGTAAATTCATTGCCATACCTTTAAACTGAAACACAGCCATGCAAACACAACTGGGATGGGAAACACAGATGAGACAGAGGTGCCTAAGCAATCAACTTTTGTACAAAGTCTTCCTCTGGTTTTACTATTGAAATATGCTTCTCTGATATATAGATAGATATTCTTTATTGTTTCCTCCAAAAGATTACAGTAGTAAAGTTATTATTAGATACAAACAATTACAAGAAATGGTCACAGTGAGAAAAAAATGGGCGACCTTATCGCTAGGAGCGGGCTCTTCCAAACAACCTTTGCATGGAGAGGAGAAATTATAAGTAGTTTGATCGGAGGCACAATGAAAATTCTGATATTTTTAAATACATATAGAGATGTAATATATAAATATATATCCTTCATCATATCAGCTTTCAATTGTCCACTGTTGAACATAAGCCTTCCCCTTAGGAGATTTTGCCAGTAGTTGCCACGCTTGGCAGGCGGATTGCCAACCGCAGTTAGGCTTCAAAGATCCTAAGAGGATATATTCCATGTGAGTTTCGTAGAATATATATATATATATATATATATATATATATATATATATATATATATATATATATATATATATATATATATATATATATATATATATATATATATATATATATATATATATATATATATATATTTAAGGTAATATAATTCAATGCAAGTAGTATTCTTGC